CATGCAGACTGCTACAAAAGGAAGTGGCACCAGAAATAACAGAAACTGACTTTTGAGTCTGCTGAGCCTCCTGCCTGCCTTAAATAAGAAGCTATACAGGTGAAATCGTGTTGCAGCAACATCTGTTACTTGAACACTGCAGAAGAATGAATCAGCACACAGCTTCAAACCAGGACTTCCATGAGGTACAGCATGGTAGAACAATGAATACAGTGCATTGGCTCCTGATTTTATCCCTGGATTTTTGTCACTAGTGATTCCAGATGTCAGCAAGGATAACTATATTTTTAGCTGTATTTCTGGACCCAATGGTTTGTGATATATGACTTATTAAAATGGACAACATTTCAATCACCATTTAAGAGTTTCTAAATTAAGAGTAGGAAGGATTCTTTTGTGTTTCACCTATAAACTTCAGTATTCTGAAATACTCCTGGTTTTTTGCCTTTTCTTTTCTTGGTCATCCTAGAGGCTCCAAATCTCAAGTGAAAAAGTATCTAAAAAGTAGACTGAGCAGAGAAGAAAAAAAATGTGGCCTCTTCTGCCAATTGTTCTATTTTTGCAGATCTGAAAAAAATGTAGGTAGGCTAAGAGCTAAGTATTAAAATCCATACTTATCAGGTTGGGCACCAGTGGGTGACACCTATAATCCAAGCTATTCAGGAGGCAGAGATCTGAAGATCTTAGTTTGAGAAGAGCCTGGTCAAGAAAGTCTATGATACTCTTTATCTTCAATTAACCACAAAAAGCCAGTAGAGTGCTATTCTTGAGTAAAAAAAAAGCTATTGGGGGGGGGGGGGGAAGGGACATGACCAGGCCTTATGTTCAAGCCCCAATACTGGTATGCACATGCATTCACGCACATGCACACAGGCATATGCACACACATGTGCAGGCACCAATCTATCAATCCAGCCAGGCTGCAGTGGCCAGATTCCTATAACCTGCACAGCCTACAAAGGATCTTAATTGTCTTACGTGTCAAATAAAATCTTCGGCATCTAATTTCTTTGCTTAAAAGACCCTGTTCAACAGTAAGGCGAAAGAGGGTAATCATTTCTAAACACAAGTGGGGATGCTGTAAAAGCCTTCAGCTTGGCTGTGTGTGCTGCTGTGTCTGCTGGCTCCACCTCCGCAAACGTGGACATCAATGTAACACTTCCATGTACAAGGCAAGGCCTACGGCACTGCTAATGTCCCCTTGCTGGACACACACCTAAAGTCTCAGAGCTCTCGATGGGTTTGCTATGGAATAAAATTAGATTCCAACATCTGCCACTATTAAGGAAAAAATTCCATTCCATCTCCCATATGAAAACACTATAACCAATGAACAGTAACTGAACCTTGATACCATAATGGTTATTACCCAAATCAACTATTTTTTTTTTTAAACAGTAAAATTAGCAGACTCTACTCTCATCATTATTTGAATCTTATCTGACTAAATGTTTGATAAAATTCCAATATGATTCGATTCGGGGGGAAAAAAAAAAAGCTTGCTGCTTATTTGAACACCCAGAATATAAAGTATATTCATTTGTAGCTATTCACATTATGTTTAAAGCATATCATCTTTTTAAAGTTTGCATCAGCCTGCTTTCCTAACCAAGCACAAAAAGGTAGCCTACCTTCAGTTTTTTTACTTGCATATTTTACTCAGACGTTAAAAACAATCTCATTTCTATTATTCATTGAAGAGAAGAGATAATATAATACATGTGAAATGGTAGGGTCGGCATGAGTTTGTTTCTAATCCTGAGAATACTTGGTGCATTAGTCACTCCAGAACCCATTTTACCTTTTAAGATGGAAGCTATTTGAAATACATAAATACATGATAAATAAATCACTCTTCCCCATATGGAGGACTAAACCTCTTACTTAGCACATTATAAAATGTTTTCCATTTGTATATAGTGCTGTACAACCTAAAAGCTCTTCTGCATACATCAGAGAATGTGACTGCCTCCTATGCTAAAAGAAGCTTGGGCTTAGTAAGTCTATGTGATTTCCCTATATGATGTTGCCAGCAACAGCCTGAGCCTGGATCATTGCCTGGACCTCTTTTGGCCCTTCCACCATTCATACCCACACCTCCTGGGTTCCTAAGGCCTTGTGATGGTAGGAGCCTCTGGTTCACAAGTATATCAATGAAGAAAAGGAAAATCCTCACTATTTCCACTATGAACTAATCCAACAATCTTAACTCCTCTTTCCTAGGTAGTGGTAACTACAGTGCTCATGCTCCTTTGATCCCTCAGGAGACACTAAAATAGTAGGAGAGCTTCAATTTGGAGTTGGCTCTACTATTTATTAGTTAGATGACCATCATAGGTAAATGGAGGAAGTTAGTACAGGGTTACTAAAGTGAATTTAGGTAAATAAATAATGCATCCTAAGGTCTAGGACAAAACAGACCTTAATGATGAACATCATCACCTGATGATGTTCAGCCAACTTGGACAAACCAGGGTAAGACACAAAGCAGATGAAGGAAGATGGGTTGAGGTGGAAGTACTTTTGGTTCCTCTCTCTTTTTACACACTTGACCTGAGAGACAAGGAGTGCTGCTTCATTCTGACTAGCCCTGGCACACTACTGGAGGTATAAATAACTATCTTAGAAGTTACCTATGTTGATTATGAATCATTAAGGTCTGTTGGTTCTGAAGGTTATTTTGTTCATTTTTCAAGCTCCTTCATAAAACGTCAGGGCAGAAGAACAGAACCAAAGCAAACAACCACCTTTCATTGTTAGTCAGATTTCTTTTGTTAGGGCTGAATCTAGTTTGAGGACTTATGTCTTAAACCATCTGTAATCTTTGCACAGTTTCATAAAAAGAACTGAAGAACCAAAGAGAACCGCAAAATGCTCTGCTAGGAAGTTAAAATACTCACTAGAAATTAGCAATAACTATTCAGAGGGATGAAAATGGTCAACTAACTAGATTCCATAGCCTACAGTGTTCCTTAGGATTCTCACTCTAACAATCATGAGAGATTAGCTAAAAGTTGGGAGGGTCTTAGGCAACAAATCAACATAGCAGACGTCCTTGCTGAAACAAGGGGTTAGTGAAGATCTGAGAAGGCTACAAAGTAAAGGATGTTTGAAAAGCCAGGCAGGGTACCACATACATTGCTGGTAGTAGCCAATTGTTGTTACTTCTAGAAGAGTTCCAAAATTGGTATCTTGGCCAAGAGAAATGGTGATGGCTGGGGTGGGCCACTAAATTGAAGTAAATGATAGATAAAAGGCAATTAAAGAATACTTATTGAAAAGCATTAATATTCATTTTGTTTGTTTTGTTTAACAGCTGACCAGATTATATAATTCATAGCTAGTTTATCTACTTTGGAGATCTGGGAAAAAAGCTTGGTCCTTGTAGGAATGTACTCTGTTATTCTTGATAATTGGAGAGGTCACAAATAAAAAAAGTTGTGGGGATCAGAAAGAAATGCAAGATAATGTATATTTAAATAAGAGATTCTCATTATAATTAGACTAAATAGTCAAAACAAGCATGTTCAGGGTGGGTGGGTAAAGTGAGCACAGGACATTTCTCCTTAATGCATAGTCTTGGTGTGTAAATGAAGACATCTGAAGACACACACAGGTTTGAAGCGGCTCTAACATTCTATCATAATTAGAAACATTTCAAGAGCCCTGTAATTTCCAATCAAAATTACAGTAATTTCCGATATACAAGCCATGATTCATGACAGAATTTTACATTCCATGAGAGATTACGGTGGCCTGATGTATGACACGCTGAGTACAGCACTAACATAAACAATTCAGTTTAATGTTTAAACAGCACTTGATGTTTAGAATCTCACAATAAAAGAAACATATTATTGTAGAAATTATCACTTTGACAGTGATTGAAGGGTAGGCAGGCATGTGGCCTATAAAGCTATAATTTTTACAGTCCACAGCTTGAGTTTAATCATTTTTATATAACATTTCCAAGATATCCCTTAAGTATTTCGCCAGTCTATAACTTAAACAAGAACAATATTTTTCTAAAACCAAAGTCTCATTAAGTACCACTATTAATGCTGGTAGAGTAAAATTTTAGGAAAAGCTAAAAAAAAAGTGTTATAAGTACATTCTGCTGTACATATTCCCAAGATCGTATATTTTATCACAAATTGGTAACACCCAGGATGTTACGTAAGAGGGTTCATTACTGACGAGAAAAATGTATTTGCATCACATTTCAAGTGTTCAAATCTCACCTGGAACCCTGGACTGCAACGTATCACCTTGATAAATGTTGCCAATTCCTTTTGCGAGGGGAAGTTTCATATTCTTCTGGTCCCTTAACAAGTATTCTTGACTTTGAGAAATTTATATATAATTTTAAGTTTATTCCTACAGATGATTCTATTTTGATGAACAAAAGCTATCAATATGTGATAGAAGGCTGCATCATCTACCATTTGTTTTTCATTTGGATTTACAGAGATTTGCAATTTTTCCAATTCAAACCCTTCAGCTATAATTCATCAGAATTGGACACATTTTTAAATTGTTAATTTGTGTGTCTTGTACACATCTACAGAAAGACTAAAATGATTAATATGCAAAGATATATGTGCATGAGGAGTTTAGTAATTGCACCTAATACTTATGTAGTGTTTATAGTATTTTAGAATAAAAAAATCATGGTCATCTACGTAATAATGAAACGATAGGAAATGAATTATACTATTATAAAACATCAGGTTGAGAAACTTTCTATATGTTGTGAGAGTCTTCTTTGAAATTTTATATTAATAGATTTATGGATGAACAGAAAAAAAAAAACTGACTGTTGGAGGGAAACCAAATCTCTGCTTCTAACCTGATCTACACATCATTTTATCCCTGTGCATATAATCCTAGAGACTGCGACCCCTCCGTGACGCAAAGTTCACAGTGAAAGCAGACACAGCTTTTAATGAAATGCCAGAGGCTTCACTGATAAACATCTCATGCCCAAAAGAGAATCTTACCTGGCTTTTGGTTGCTGCAACCTTTGCAAATAGTGCCTGGGACACTTTAGCGCGCTTCATTTCCTGCTGAATCTCATCATAAATGGAGGCATTAATGTTCATGGTATTGTTCTCCGGCTTCCCATTCCTCTCAGTGGCAATAGTAGCTGTTTTCACCTACAAAACATTTTGAACATTGCTGTCATTTTTCATTGGCCAAATTGTTTTGATGCTTCTCAGGCTCAGCATCCAAACTGGACATTGTTGCTCCTTTTATGATCAAGGTGATCAACAGTGCAGTCATTCAACATTAGTTATTGCCCTGAGATCAGATTGCTTAAGTTAAGGAAGTCACATTGTCACAGATGATTGCATCTGTAATGTGACAGCAACTGCTAGCTGACAACCAGGAATTATAATGCCATAAAGTAAGTTTTCTGGAAAACAGAATAGTTGCAAAGACTTGAAAACCCTAAACTAATTGTCTCCCAATTACCTTCCATTCCAACCCTAACAAAGGAAATTCACAATTAAGATCATAATGCACAGTGCCATATCTTCACTGGGTGCCCGGTGCCTAATAGACAATTGCATCACTAATAGCTATTATATACTATGGCCTTTTTAATTTTAGATTCTTTTTTATGCCTCTTCCTCTTAGGTTTCATTTTAAAAATCTTCCATAACAAAGCCATTTGCAGAACTGCGTATTTAAATCTTCTATCCATCCATGAAACAGGTAGAGTGCCGTGCTTAATTATCATAAAGGCTGGTTGCATTTTACACGTGCATGTCCAAGCTGTTCTGTATAATTATTTTATCTTTTCCTGGCACCCTTGTCTATAACTATTTTCTTTTGACTCATGGAACCAGACAATAAGAAAATGTTTCACAACATTTAAGAGAATTTTATGATAAGCTACTCAAAATATATAATCGGTGACTTTATATATCCAAAATGCATAATTCTGAGTGAAAAAGTAATACCAACCTTTGATAATTATGATAAGAAGAAATCATCAGGAAAATGTCACAGAATTTGGGGGAGAAAAAAAAAATCACATCTTGACTTCCAGATTTATTGATATTAGTATTCATTTTGTAAACTCTAAATTTAATTTTTATTATGCAGTTGTATGAACCAGTTATATGGACATTTACAAAGGAACTCCATAAGTTGAATTTTTACTAAGAACTTGATAAAACTGTAAATGAAACACCAGGCTTGAAGCAGGATCCTGCTTCTCCCAGAAGTGCTTTCTGAAAGACCTCTCCTTTACAGACCCAGGTTCTGTCCTCTAGAAGCTAAGAATCTTCCACAACTCTCACACAAACAATGAGTAATAGAACACAAAGAATTTAGAATAAGCAAGCTATTGCTGGCATCTAATCATCCAAATCCTTAAGTCAAACTGCAAGTCTTTCAGGTTTAGGTCTCATCCCCAATATAAGTGCCATGAAAGGAGGGATACAGGTTTACCCTTGAAGACTAAATTCTTGAAAGTAAACGTGTAACTCCCTTTAAAATGTACCTTCTGAATCTTTCTAACTCTAGCAAGTTAGCCAAGTAATTCGACTCTTGCTGATCTAGAGAAAGCAGGTGGATTGCTCTACCATGACATTAGCCATGCCATGTCTGGATAGGCCTGAGAAGACATCTCAGGTGAGACAAACATGACCTCTTGGCTGGCCTCACTGCTTCCCTTAAGCCTGGGACAGAATCCTGAGAGGCTAGGCTGTACCTCCAGGGCTCCCTTTCCAGCACTGGGGTGTAAGCAAGGGCATTCCCAGAGGTGTATTAAGGACGGGAGGCCACTAAGACACACACACAGGGCTTTGAAGCAATAATCTGCTAAACACCACTTTAGGAGCCAGAAGAGTTAACGTATTACCATAAATTGCCTACAAAGTTGCTTTGGTGAGATTTGAAACTTTGCTCTGGGGTGGTCTTGCTTTGAGGCATAGGGATAGATTTGATCACCCCATGGGGTCCCTTTTAATACCTATTTTTCTTACTGCTTAAATGAGAGAGAAAAGAAAAGCCATTTCAGTCGCTTTGAAAATTGAATGTTATGGAAATGGAGGCACGAAGTCTGGGCCCTGGAAGGACCTGTTCTTCAGTATCAATCCATGCACATAGCAATAGTAAGTAAGCAGGTTTTGGAAACTTGGACTCTCCATCTGTTTTTAAAATAATTTTCATTCTTTTGTAAAAACATTTAACTTATCTTTGAGGTAGGTTACAATCCTTTCTTTCAACCCTGCGATTCTGTTTCTAAAGTTTTCACTGCTTGAACCGAAAAGCAAGAATTCTAGATTTTTTTTAAATCAAATAATCATTTCCTAGTAGCCAACGTTATCAAAATAAAAGCAGAAATCAAGCATCTCATAAAACTTTTAAAAGGAACTTGAATGTGATGGGGGAAACTTTTTTAAACGTGAAGTTAGAAATATTGGTCTGTATTATTCATTTTTAAAAAATATTTAGAAAAGTTCTTTTTTATATCTCCTTGGTCCAGATATGCATCTATCTTATCACATTTTTTTCCCTTAACACAAACTATTGCTTAAGGGGACCTGACTTGGATAGTCTTTCAAAAAGCAAAAGCTGAAATTTTCCCCAGGTAAAAATGGAAACAAAAATCTTTTCTATCTCTCTCTACTAAGTACTATTTTAGCTTAGTACAAAAAAAAATCTTCTTTAATCCTGCTTTAGCTTTTAATGTTATATCACACATTAAAATTCATAAAGTAGTTCATTCCAGGCAAAACAAGCTACTCTTCACTCTTCTCCACAAATAGCACAAGAGGTGAAATAAACGCAGTTGCCTTCGGAAGGGCTTTTATCAAGGTAGGGAGGACTACTCCATCATTAAAGAGGCGCCAGGGAAGTAGTTAGATGATTCTACTTTTTACCTTCCCATGTGAGGAGAGGGTACAGCACTAGGGCTCACTTTTTGGTTCACTAAATTTGTGCTGCACTGCATACATTTTCCATGAAAACTCTTATTTTGCTTCTTCAAGAATTGCTAAGTGCATCAAATCATACTTTGGGCTACACAAAATTAACTCCCCTTTGGTCTGGGCTGGTGCACACGCTACTCTTTAAAGCACAGAGTGGCCTGCAAGCACAGGGCTCTCACATCCACAGAATCAAAGCTTTTTGTATTTGGTAAAAATAATTTTCACAATAAAGCTGGTCACTTATGATCTGATTATGTGCTGAGCATTTCAGTAATGTATAACTTTGCAATCTGCATAACAGCCCACAGTAAGTACTATGATAACAATATGTAACTATGTGAATACTATGTATAATAATAAAATATTAAGTCATGTCCATGGCTCAAAGTTGAGATCTAAACTTCAGATGATTGGTGCTGAATTTTATCTTAGCTATGGATCTTAGTTAAGACACTATGGAAATTATGTAGAGCTCTGCCCTAAGAGCCTTTTACTTACAAAAATTCTTACTTATCACCAGGCATGGTGCCACATGCTGTGATCCCAAGTACTAGGATAACAAAGGCAGAGGCAGAAGCATCGTGAGTTCAAGGCTAGCCTGAGCTATGTAAGACCCAGTCTCTAAAGGAAAGGAGAAGTAGGAGAGCTGGCACATTGTTCGCTATATAGACTCTGTATATTTTCTAAATTGTTATTACCAAGTATCATGCCTTCCTTTAGAATAAATAAAAGAATTAGAGGAAGGGATGTCAAAACAAATGAAGAAAATAAGAATTATATAATTCACATTTAAGTTATAAGTTGGCAATTACATGCTTTCAAAGTGCTCTCATGAAAAGTAAAACTGAAAAAATTAATTTAATTCCCAAAGTCACATGTATATGAATACATACACATGAAACCACAGTAAGAAATCAGCAATATAAAACTGATAAGAAAAGTATTATTAATAAAACTCTTCTAATAAATTCTTAAAGCACAGTCAGGAGTTTTTAAGACCAAGGAACTTTGGTAGAATAAGTTTTTCCTAGATAACTTTCTTATGACCAAAGTTTAGAAGGGGTATCTTCACCACAATTTCATAAACATAATTATCCAAAGTCTTCTCAAGTGGATCATTTGTTCAATATTCAATTTATTCCATCAGGACAATTTCCTCAAATGCATTCCTCTTTCCAATCTAAAAACACAACTTCCCACCCTCCAAGTTTCATTTTCCCCTTATAAAATAAATTTTTGTATGCTGAGGAGGTAGCTTGAGGTACAAGCAGGAGTAACAGACTAACTGGGGGATTTGGAAACTTTTAATTAAACCTTTCACTTGGGTTTCTCTTTTCTCTTAGCAAAAGGCTGGTATGAGGATCCAATGAATTAATGCATGGGAAGGTGCTTAGAAAACTGTGAACTATTATGAAATGCAAGGTATTCTAATTTCTTAAATTAGTGCATGTAAGTTGTGAAAATATACTTTTGGCAAACAGGTCTGGCTGACAGAGGTTGCCTGCCCCAGGCAGAGAATGAAACCCATGCATGGCTGCCCTTACTAGAGCACTCTGGACAGGAGTCACAGAACCTTGGTTGGGTCAGCCAAGAATTTTGTTGTTTCTGGAGGCTGGTGAGGTTATTACTAGGAACTATACTTGAAAGCTCCCTGCTAGCCAGAGAAGTCCTTTCTTGAAGATGATTTTTGAATCCAAGAGCTTCAAAAGTTTAGCTGCAAGATCTGGTATGCCCCCAAGGACATGTCAAATCATCTTATATGAGGCCTATACCTATAAGGAACTGGAAAAGAATGCAGTCTTTCAGATCTCAATGTACCTGGGAATTCCAAGAACCACTCTGGGCCTCAAGCCTATCCTCCTCATTTTGGAGGAAATAGACTTTGGCAAAATCTAGAATTAAAAAGGGCAGTATTCTTCAGTCTGTGTATCTGTGGGCACCTCCATTTTAGTCATTTGTTATAAACCCAGAAAAAACTTTTTGTGTGATATATTGGATCTAATCCAAAAACTCTACTATTTCAACTGTTCAAAAGCCTATGTTTCCCCAATTCTAAAAGTCCTTATCTCAATGATGATGCCTTTAATCTATCAAGCATTGCTAAAAATTTAATCCATGCAATTATTGTTAAAGGACAAAATGTGAACAGATTAGAGGTGAACTTCTTTATACTAATAAATAATGCAAAGGGACTGTGTGGGGGCAAATAAGACATACATACATGTATTAGTCATTTTGAAACTTGGTTAGATGGCTGGTAATAAGAGAGACTTTGTCTGAAAGAATTTCACTAAGAATCTAGTTATTCATTGAACTACATTTACATGTTCATCATTGGATACCAGCTAAAGGTTAAATATCTACCTCTCTTGAGTTATAGAGTGACTAAGAAGTTAATAGTTAGGCCATAATAAATCGTATTATTTATATATTTTTTTTTCTATTCCAAACTGCTCATGGTAGATATTTGTCTTTGCATATACCAAAAAAATCCACAAGAGTATCTTAAATGTATATGAAAATAAATATCACTAAAGAATAAGGGTAACATTTAGCTAGAAATAAAAAAGCCTCTAAGAATAAGGATAGTGTAAGCACATTTGGAAAGTGGGGTGCTCAAAATCCCAGAAAAATTAAAAAACAAAAGCTGCACTAAGGAATCAACAAAGCAAACGTTTAGGCAGATTAAAAATTTAAAAACAAAAAGAGACTGGGAAGGTGGCTCAGTGGTAGAGTGCTTGCCTCGCATGCATGAGGCCCTGGGTTCGATTCCTCAGCACCAAATAAGCAGAAAAAGCTAGAAGTGGTGCTGTGGCTCAAATGGTAGAGCGCTAGCCTTGAGCTGAAGACTTGAGGGACAGCGCCCAGGCCCAGAGTTCAGGCCCCATGACAGACAAAATAAATAAATAAATAAAAATTAAAAAAGATGTTCACTGTTGAAATTCACATTGGTCTTAAGCAAGCTATTCTCTTATTGCAAATCAAGTGATAAGCAAAATAAGTCTGCCCAGACCTTTTGGTAAAGAGTATAGGAACAAGGTTAACTAATGATGGTATGTGTGGTAACTGTTAGCACTGATGAAAAAAAAAAATCATCTAAGTATTTTTTATTTAATTACCTTATAAAAGTCATATGTGTATATACACAGTTGCTCATTCTTTATCTTAGGAAGTGGTTTGTTTAGAGATCAAGCTCAGTGGAAGTATGTAGGTACACAAGAGGCACACAGCTGTTATTCTTCTTAGAAGAGAAGCATGGCTTCTTTATAGCCTGTCCCTGTGCACATCAAGTCCAGGCTGATTTTCATTAAACATAGAGAAAATGTACTTTGGTGACATTTCTAAGCAGCAAGTATTTCAGAACTTTATGAACAACAGTGACTTTATGAACAGCAAGTGACTAGATAGTATGTCCGTTCTTCTTTCGTGGACTATCTGTAATACTTTTTTAGATTTTTTAAAATTCTTTCTTTTTCTTTTCTTTTTTTTACTGCTGAATAGTCTTTTGTAAAATTATTATATTTAGAAATATATTATTGTTAGCATTGATGCAAAGAAATCAACATCAGCATATATATATATATATATATATATATATATATATTTCACTAACATTATGTTATAGGAATACTTGAAATCTGTGTTCCATATTCAATTTTTATATAGTTTTGGTTGACTATTATTTTAAGACTTGTGCATGTCACAAATTAAACATACAAACAAACAAAAAAAAACATACAAAGCCACAGTTGCTTGTGAAGTTGGGCCTAATTGACTTTAAAACTTTGATCTGCTAGTTTCTACTGTAGCTTAACTTCTTGAATTGTCATAATAATTATAAGGCTGCTTTTTAAACCGCAACTTAAAAAATAACCATCAATCCATTCATCTACTGAGGGCCGTCTGGGTTGGTTCTATATCTTAGCTGTGGTGAATAATATTGCGATAAACATAGTTGTGCTGGTAGCTTTAGTAGGGCCTTTTTGTGATCATTTGAGTCAATGCCCAAAAGTGGGATTGCTGGGTCATTGGGGAGCTCTATGTGGAAATAAAAACATTAATACAAAAAAAAAAAAAAAAAACTATCAAGATGCATATACAGATGTTACCTGAGAGGTGACTTGTTTTCCTTCCTCAAAATGTGAAAAAGAGGTTGGGGAAATAGAAAAATGTGCCCATTTTCTGGGAATATGGATGGAATTCCTTATCAATCCCATTTAAAGCTGCCTTCAAGGATTGTATTAAACTTAATTATGAAAGATTACAAACGAGATGATGTGTAATTGGTACCAGCTGCAGTTCGTATTGGAAAGCATAAATACAAATGGAATTACTTATTTTTATTTATTTACTATTCAAATGGCAGCTCTAAAACTGGTAAGGATAAAATTGACCTTATTCTTTTTTGTTCTATTGAGTTTAAAATACTTATTTAGTAACAGAGGTAGAGGCAATATCCACTTACAGACTCCTTATACTCTTCTCTGCACCCCCTCCAAGAATCCAAATAGATTAACACAAAGCTATTTTCTTTCCCCTACCTAATTAGTAGCTTATTGTTTTTATACCAGAATTTGTGATCTGGGAACAAATTCTCCTCAAGCAACTATGCGAATTCTTTAAAATTGGTATCTATCATATTTCTTGCTGAGATTCTTCCTTAAACATTGTTTTCAAAAGAAAGATAAAGAGACTAGCAAGGAAGAAGAGACTGCACCTGGGGAGGGCGGCTGGGTGGTGTGCTTATCAGAGGGGCTGGACCCATGGCCGAAGCAGCATTCAAGCTCCTCTCCCTTTCATCCTGGTATATTCGGTCTCTTTCTGCTTCAGGTAACTGCAAGAAATTCTGCATAGCCCGAAGGTTTACCAGCAAAGACTGGGATGCAGTCTTGGGGTCCTCTTCCTTCCGGAGGATTTCTGAAAGCAAGCCCTGAAGAGAATGAAAGGGACAGTGTGAGTTTGCTCCAGCCAGCCCCTAGGGATCCCTCCTCTCCCCTCACCAACCTCCCCCCACAACCCTGGCCCCCGCCCCCGCCCCTTTTCCACTCTGTTAAGGAAATGAAGACTCTGAGGCATTAATTCTTCATAGGAATATATTAGTTACAATTGAAGCAATGGAGAAGAGAGCTTCAATTGTGTTCTTAATTTTATTAAACATCTGCTTTACATATAACATAAACCGAAACTGCCTAATTGGTCTCCTTCTTTTGAGTAGCTTAACTTGCCATGAAATCTTTCACAGAGAGAAGATAGAGGGAAGTTAAGCACAAATGAAATCCTCGTAATACAACAGCATTGAACTGTATAGTTCTCAAGTTGCCTAGACAAAGGCAAGGGAATGCCAAGAGTTCAATATGGAATGACACAAAGCCATTTTTCTAGAGTTGTAAGTAGATTTTTTTTTTTTCAAGAAAATACCAGGAAATGAACTGCAATATATCTGGGGGAAAAAAATTACTAAAGAATCACATAGTACTTACACTGTGTATTCACAGGCAATTTTAAGTAGTTTCTTAATCTTCAAATTATCCAAGTAAATGGCACCAGGTGGCCATTTCAATTTGCCATTAAAGGGAAGCACAGACATCCCAAATGATTCTAAATAAGATCTTACTCCAATGTACCTATGGGTTATAAGTTGAAGTTTTGAACTTCAGAACCCACAGAAACACATAACCAATCTTCCATACTGCAAAAATCCACCACAATATGCCAAAGTAAAGAATATTGTAAAATTTTGTAATTACTAAATTTCTTGGGGGAATAAAAATCATTACTAATAATGGGAAAATTCACAGACAATAGGAAGCTTCCTTTAAGGTGGCTTTCTTCCCCAAATAATACAGCATTCATCTTCAAGTTTTCTTCTTTTTTGGTCAGTCAGTGAGCTTGAACTCAGGGCCTGGGTGCTGTCCCTGATCTCTTTCACTAAACTACCACTTTGAGCCACAGAGCCACTTCCTTAATTTTTTTTAACTTTTGGAATAACTGTTTTTTTTAATGAGTGAGTACGTTTCAGGGATAATATGAAACAGAAGTAGTGATTTTTTTTTTCTGACAATGTTCTAATGACTGAGCAACACTCATCAATCTGGAGTATAGAATAAAGCTTAGAACATCAGAACATGTCTACTTTCTTCATTTAAGATTGCTAGCTTTTCACAATACAGCTCAGAATAAAATTCCATTCCTATATCATCTGCAAATCTACACTCCAAAACCCTACAGAAATGGTTAAAAAGTATCTGTAATGAGGGAATTGTCAAAATAATGGAGTCCCAAGGTTTTAATATTTGTGGTTTCCTAGAAGTGAAAACCAGGTTTTGTTCACAATTTCTCAAGATAATGTGCCATATTGCCTAAATGTAACAGCTGGGTGCAGGTATTATAAAAGCACTGTCAAGTCTTAAAATGACTTATAAGCTGATATTAAAAAATAAAACATCTCAAACAGGTTCTGGAGGTTTGAGTCAATTGTAAAGAAATCTCCTACTTGTCTAATATAATCAAAGCCGAGAACTGGGACCTAAACCTTCAGTTTTACCACAAGAAATGTGACTGAATGTGAAAGACATTATCTTCTTCCATTCACAATTCTAACAACTAAATGTTTCAATGGTGTCTGCTCAAGAATAAAACACTGAGTCAACTTAACTAAAATTCAGTCAGTCAATAAGCAAGCTATTTAATTTGCATAAGGCCCACTAATAAGATTGAATGTGCTTCTGATGTGTCAATCTGGAACCAAAATACAGAGTTCACCAAAAATAAAAATAATAAATTCTGAGCAATAGATGTAATAAAATAGCCCTTGCTTGCCACTACTCTTCAGCAAATGTTATATATTTAAAAATGTGCTTGTAAGACCAGCATGGTGATGCATATCTATAATCCCAGCACTCAGATGAAGAGACTGGAAGGATCATAAATTTGAGGGCAGCATGAGCCAAGACCTTGACTCAAAACAAAGAAACAATGCATGGCCAAAGGATATATATATATATGTATATATATATATATATATATACATATATATATATCACATATATATATCACAGAAATATTGTATATTCCACCTATATATAAACATAGCATGTTATCTATTCCTTGAGTTTAATATTCACTTTTGTTTTCCTAGCAAAGTACCTATCTTACCTAAGTGTTTGAAGAATACTACACCAATTAATTATGTGACACATTATTATTTGCACTAATAGTTCAGTTATTTTTAAAAAAACAGACTAGGGCAAAAGGTATCCTGTAAGTATTCAGAGTGTTCTTAAGTTTTGGAAATTGAAATTAGACATTTTAAAATAGTAAATGGCAAGTAATATTATCATTTATTTCTACCAAAACTGTTTCCTGAAGCAACAAAGAAATATAGGAAGAAAACTCAAGCAAATGCAGAAAGATATTAAATATCTTGTTCATGTAAGACTAAGTCACCCTGGTATGGCTTAGATAGAAGATAGCACATCACTTGGGAAAATTAAGAAAGAGCTCTACCTTCTGCCCATATTTGCACATTGGCATGCCTTCCCATTTAAGCATACAAGTGTTGCACAGGCAAAGCATTTCATTTCCACTTAAAGTAATTCTCCTACTGGAACAGGTGCAGTTCTTCTGCCTGGAATATGTTGATGGTCTGAAGCAATGTTTCAAACCCTGGAACATTCTGAGAACTAAAGCAGCCAGTGTAGACAATCTCCTGTGCTTTAGAACCTTTCTTTTGGCCTAGAGCTTTCAATGAGGGGAGTGCCCCCTGGTGGAAATGTTTGAAAATATTGTTAGAAAATGTTTTCAATTAGTGTTAATGGGGGGGGGGGGGGGGGGAGGAGTCACAAGAACAAGTCTAGATGCAAAAATGACTATTATCAACCCAGACACAGAATTGCATGTGCTGGTCCTATTCATATCACAGTTATCTGAGCAGATGCACTTATGGATCCAAGATGTATGTGTTCTCTCTCACCTCCCCCACACTACCTTTTCTTATTTTTCCACAGTTGAAAAGATACAGACTTGCTAGGTTACATCAAGTTCATTAGTATGAATTACTCATGATGGACAGTCACAAGGCTCTTTTACCAAAAATGAGTCTTCATAGTAGAAATACTATGTTTAAGCCACCATATATTTTATTTAGAATATGGTGAGATAGTGGGAAGAAAACCTAGCTTTACTCTCATACACTCAATAAATTTGCAGAACTAAATTAAACAAAATCACTAGTCATTCTCCTTTCTAAAAAAGAACTTGAGAACTTGTATGTTATATAGGAGGTTACCAGCACGTCATGAATTTTAATTTTATTGGAAATGAGAAGCTGCCTTTCATTGGGACTTTACAACTTACAAATAATTAGATGTGTGCTGTATATATGGAAACATAAAATTACTCTGCATTGTCATTACACAGTAGTTAAGTGAGATCCTATTTTTTTTCAATTAATGAATTTACTGATGAATTCCAAACCACCGTTTTTTTACATTCCAACAATAGTTTACAAATTATTACAAGTAAAATTCATATTATTACAAGTAATATTCAATAAATATTATCAGTACCTCCAAAAGCTAATTATGAATTTTTTAAAACAGAAGATAAGTGAAGGAGACTGCCAATCTGAACAAAAGCCTGTCTGGCCTCCCATTTGTCTCCTCTTTGAAAGTAATCACTGATTCAAATAGATTTTATCAGCTTTGTGGAACTTGAAAGCCCTCAGAAAGAAAATACAATTTGATGAAATCTCACTCCTCAAAAGGGTATATCCTTCTTTAAAATGTTTGTCAAGGCTATCTGCCTCTGCTGTTCAGTGAATTTTTAGTCATATTGTACAAGTAAACGACTATTTTCAAATTCCACCTAGTCTTTGGACACTTGCCAAGTAAGTTATAAGTAGACCTTTATCTCTGTCCTTTGGTAAGCTAATCGAGAGCTGTCATGTTGGGATAATAGCACCTTTTTACCTTTTATTCAATAGTGTCATGGATAGTAGACTTTCCTTAAATTACACTGTGAAGAATTATAGGAACACAGTAGCAATTTCTGTTATACTTAAGAAGGCAAATTTCTCTCCACCACATAATTTACAGAACTCAAATTCAATAAAATATTACATGATGGTCCATTACTGTTATCAGTTTTGAATAATCCATCTTCATTCTTCATTTTACTGGAAAATAAAGTGTGCCCAAGATGGGGGCAGGAGGCAGTAGAAGGAAAAGGAGAAAAAAGCCACACAGTGGATTTAGCATTTAAACTCTGGGTTGTAATTTTTTTAAAGGGGCATTGAAGATTATATTTTCTTGTATCACAACCTTTAAATAGCAGTATCAGAGAGAGGTGAATTGGAAAGTATAAATCTAAAGGCCTTGGAAATGACTTTCAGCCATAGGTTTCCATTAAAAGGGTATCAAGTAGACATAACAGAATGAATGACATATTCTAAAAGCTGGGTCTTCAATAGCAATTAAAGCAATAACATATGCCACCAATTTGGAAGAGGAAAAATTCCTTAAAACAAGTAACTACGTAAATTTCATCATAAATTTTCACGGACGGTAGACTTTTTTTTAAGTCGTAGGTAAAAAGTCTTAAGAGAGCATTATGTTTAACTTGGGGAACCCTACTAAGATAATGAGAAAATTCTCTATAGAGAGATGAAACATGAAATCCAGGATCTTAAAACTTACTCAGAGCTGTCAATGACTAAAAGAATTCTCAATTTGTAACTATGCCATCATTATATTAATGTTTCAAAACTCACTGTTCATAGGGCACATTGCCTTTCTCCATCCATATCATGTAACTTTGCATTTCACATCCACATTCAACAGTCATTTTTGTAAACCTTGAGTTGAATTGCACGTTGTAATAAGTGCATCCCAACGTGTGATGTGCGATTTGGCTCTGCAGAGCTCCCTGTCTATACATATGCATTAGCATGTGTATTTTCGTACTCCACGCTCACACCCTACTCTCACTCTGCACCTGCTTTTATTGAAATGCATACACTTTGAAATAAACACACTACATGCATTCATATGAATGTATAATCATTAAAATAAATGCAGCTGTGTGTAGGCGCGTGGGTGTGACTTTTAAGTATGACCACTGAAAACACATACATGCTTGCATGTACAAAAGGTAGTTCTCAATTAATGAACACCTCCATACATAAACAGCTTTACATATGGCCTGACATCTAGCTCTACGAAGGAGTACCAATTACCAACATAAAGATCTGAAACCAAACCCCTTTATCAGCAAATAATTCTTGACCACATTTTATCCCCAAAACTGGCTAGTTAAAAAGTAATGTTTGTATGAAGCTATATCAAGTTTTCATTCTCTTTTTACCCTCAGAAAAATAAAATCACTGTTTCTCTTTTAATTTTGTCTTCAGAGAAAATTCTACCTATCTTCAGGTAATTAATCCTATAGACATTCATGCAATCTTTTCAATGTAAAGATTGAAGACTGAAAAAAAAAAACCAACAAATAGTACACTCTTTGCAGCTGTACCTGTAATGCCATAATCTGGGAGAGAAAAACTGATTCGTGGTGAATCTACTCTCTCTCCACATTCTTCACTGTATGCTGTGCACTTCCCTGACTGCTATAAATTATAACTCTTTTGCTCCATTTTTCAGTCACTAAATCTCTATGTCTATAACCTGTCTCTATGTCAATGTTTCTTTGTCGGTGGGCTTTTAACTGAAACTAACACATAACTGGATTTCTATGTAAAGTCCTCTTTTTGTTGCCCAGTACTAAGAATTTCTAGTATTTATTATATGTATAAAATTAAAAATGGTACCAGAAATAGGAATGTTCAGAAGGTTGACCTTTGATTCATTCATTCAATTTTTTATTAGTTATCCTCCAAGTGAATTAAAGTGTCATGTTAAATTTACTAGTAAAAACACAATATTTAAGCTTTAAGAGCATTGAACTTATTAAAAACTATACAATTTTAATACAAGACAGAACTTCGTGTGGCTGCCTTTTTAGAAACAGACAAATCGTGTATGTATAAAAACCTTAGATGAAGAAACTGAAAACAAACACTGAATTAAAGGCTTTGTCAGGTCTCCTAACTCCCAGTCTAGTTAAGGCAACCAAAAATAAGTCACAGCTGGGATTCTCCTAGGTATGGAAACTCTGCCAACAATGAATTAATACTAGATTATATTTGTACCAGGATTTTATTCTTATAATCATGTAATAAACAAAAATAACTTAAATGAGAGGAAAATATGAGTCAGGCCAAAAAAAGAAGAAACCAAATAAATAAATAGAAGAAAGAGCCATGGTAAAACAAAAAAAAATGTTGAAAAGAATTAGGTCTCATAAAGTTAAATGTGTTCTTCTGATTTTTGAAGTATACCTTAGCTAAAAATAAATACCACATATATCATAGTAGTTTCCAAACCAAAAAAAAAAAAATCTTATTTTACTCACAAGGTCAATATGGATAATTGATCAAGTCATAAGATAAAGATAGATGAGAAACACTAAAAATTGATAGGATCAATTTGTTCTTAGTATCTCAGTATCATGGGTTACCTCTAGATGGGTCACCATTGTGATAGAAACTTCAGAGAAATTTGCCCAGGAGACAAAGGTGCAGATCTCAATGAAAGTCTAAAAATGTGTTTGCAAACTAAGGTCTACAAGCCACTTTAACCTACCTTATGACTTGTTTCGTAGGTACTTCCATAAGGTGAAATACTATCACACCCATATACATTGTTACAGCTCTCTACCCCTCTACATTGTGACAGAGGTTTTATGGCTTTTAAACCCTTATGACTTTATGGTCTAAAGAATGAGATCTGAAAGAATATTAATAGCGTGAAAGAGAAGACAAAGCTTATTATGTTAATATACCATGTTATCTCTTCTTCAAAATGGCTATACAAAATTAAATGCCAGAAATTGTTATTGAGATTCAAGGTGTCAAAATAAAATGTTGTAGAACTTCAACAAAAAAATATGTATATAGTTAAGTTGGATATGAGAGTTTTTTTGGTTGTTGTTTTGTTTTTGTCTGTTCTGGGGCTGCAACTCTGGGCTTAGGCCCTATCCCTGAGCTCTTCAGCTCAAAGTGAGCTCTACATCTTCAGCCACAGCGCCACTTCTGGTTTTCTGGTGGTTAATTGGAGATAAGAGTCTCACAGACTTTCCGGGCTGGCTTCAAGCCACGTGATCCTCAGATCTCAGCCTCCTAAGTAGCTAGGATTACAGGCATGAGCCACCAGCGCCTGGCCTGATATGAGTTTTAACATAGAAATACTAGGCCAGAAGAAGCCCAGAATCCTCCCTGATACCCTGTCTTAACCTTCTATTACTAATAATTTCTAAGTCTAGTATAAGAGAATAGGTAATGCCAGCCAGAAATACTTGTGGATTTCCTCTATTCTTTTAAAGCCTGTGACCGGATCAATGTGAACCCAGCTTTCCCTAGGCCCCATCAAGAACAAGCAATATGACCACTTAACAAGAAACATATTGTTATATATTTGTACAGAGTAAAAGAACAAACATTAGCATAGATGGGTTTAAAGAAAGAGAAATAAAAAGGGGAGAGAGAACAAACAGGAAAATAGAAAAACAAAACTGACCTGAGTTCTGTTAAAAGCCACACGTGCAAATACTGCCTGGGAGATTCCTGCTCGTTTCAGTTCATCACGTACCCACTGGTAGATTTCCGAAGACACCTCTGTGTTTGTTGAAACCTGTTGCTCCAAAGGCTTATTCATAGACCTACTGACAGGGGGAGGGTGGTTCAAGTATTGTTGGTTTAAGGACTGCTGGGCTAAAAGTCTGTTCACTGCATACTGCTGGTTTAGCAGTTGGGCCATCACGAGCTGCTGGTTGACCAGTTGAGGACTGATAGGTGTTGACACAAGCCCAGGATGCAGGTTCGGAAGAGGGGTCCGGACAGAGGGCTGGCTACCATGAGAGAGCTGCGCAGGGGATGGAGGCTGCTCGGCTGTGTTCCCTGGGACTGGCTGCTGGCCAAAATTGACATGGTTGGCACCTTGCTGGGATAGTTCGGAAAGACTATCCATCTCGACTACAGTGGACAAAAAGTAAAGTCATGTTCAGACGACAATGGAAGTGACAGGGATCTGATCGTTTCCCCATTAAAAAGAAGACATAGGTAGAGGGCACACTGAACAGGCAACGAAACTAAGGCCATTTCATGACAGAGCTCATTAGCTCGTACTGAAGTTTCCTGCTTTCGAAAATATGGGACAATACTCTGGATCTCATTTTCTGAAGGGTGATTTAGATTTCAGCATAAAATCTGCTATATCCAAATTCTTTGTCACTAGGTTTTTAGGACCAAATTGTTACTGATTCTCACTCATACCCAGAAAGACATATGAGCAATTATGTTTATTTTAAAATGGATTCAACAAGAAAATCATTTGTTTAAATGGCAACTAGGAAAAACTGAGGTGAGCTATGAAATTAAGCTTAAGGTAACAGGCAAGTAAAGAAATTTACAAATATTTCCACGTGATTGATAAATAAATAAATATAGATAGATAATTAACCTAGGCAAAAGGTATAGAAGAAAAAATGACGTCATAGTGAACTTTTGAACAGCAGTAATTATAAAGAAATTAACATCATAAATAATAAAATGAACACAATAATAACAATAGTAATGTAACAACTTACTCTTAGGTTTCATACTTTGCTGGTCATCTTATATATGGCTTATTCCATTTAAATCTAATCATCATAAATGGTAAGTCTACATGCAAATATTTCTCAGAATGAAGCGATATTACTCAGAATGATTTACAACATGTAAAATCACCATACCCAACGTTGGTATGACTCAAATGTTTTTCTTCAAACAGCTTTTGCAATCATCAAACATTAAAAGACAAACTTGGAAGAAGGAACACAGGGTTTCGTGTCTAGGTACCACTGTGGTACTGTTATGATTGTTGTTGTTGTTGTTGTTGTGTTGTTTTCACTTTAAAGAGAGTTTGTTGCTTTGATGAACATGATTTCTTTTTTTTTTGTCTTCTTTCATTACTTGGGGGAAAGTTAAAGGAGTAGAGAAAAACAGATACCCAGGGTAGGAAATTCAGAATATATAAGAATATCACCGGGATTGGAGGCATGGTTTGGTTGGTAGAGCACTAACCACTGAGCAAAAGTGTCGGGTACGGAGCATGGTCTGGCAATTTATGTTCAACCCTCCAGGGTAGATGTTCATCCCTTGACTACAACTGTCATGTGGACTGGCTGAGAGTCAGCTAATCTGTGTCATATGCTTTGCTGCCACAAAGAAGAGACTGATTTGTTGCTCTTGACTAGAAAGGCTGAGCGTGGAGCTCAATGTAAATAGGTAAAGCTTTCCAAATTTACACTCTACTTCCCATATATAGTCTCTATTTTGATCGTCGTTTCTCTTTTCATTAAATATGCAGGCTTTATATTTAGAGGAACTTATCATATTGCTACAGTCACTAATATATGCAAAATATAACTAAGAATTGGGGAAGAAACCTTCAATTTCTACCAATGAGACTAGCTCAAGTGAGCCATTCACAAAGAATAGTAATTCAAGCAATTATTCCAAAAATGATGCATTGTCTTCATTATAGCCCTAAGCTATAAAAGGCAAAGAATCTGTTTGGGTAGATGGATGGATTTTCTTCAATATTAAAAACTAAAATATGCTCAAAATTCGGGTCTCTTGTCTCTTAAACTCTTTAGGAAAAGTGATTATTGTTGTTACTATTAAATGAATGTAATGAAGATAAAGAGAAATAGATTTAAAACCGGGCATAATGCTATGCATATTAAATATCCTATTCCTTTTTTATTTTAAAATGTATGATCTGGAAGGTACAAGTATGTGAAAGAAGATATTAATAGAAATTAAAACATTAACCTTAATCATACTGTTAGAACACTAACAAACTCAAAATGGAGAAAAAGCAATAATCCACCTATGGATTATGCTGACCTATAATGACCTATGCTGACCTATGTTGACCTATAAAGTTGCATGTTAAGACAGGATACTTCAGTGGATTTAAAAGTTTACAAATGATGTAATGATAGTTTTGGTGCAGGTAGCAAAGATGTAATTACCCAAATGCCTACTTACCAGCAAAAGCTATATAAAAATCATTGATCCCCACTGTTCCAGTTAAGAGTTTAATACAGCTTAATTCCCCTAAAACTGGGTCCTGTCTCATTCTCCCACACAAGAGCAAAAAAAATCCCCAAAGCATGATTTATCTCAGAGAGAAATCACAGCTAATATTAGTTATTCAAGGCCTGGTTAGGTCTTCACAGAGATGTTAAAAAAAATGACAGCTCCCCTCCTCACGCCTCGATTTCCTGCATGTCTGACAACCAAGTCAGTTTGGCTGATTTAAACACAAACATTTATTGAATTTAATTATCTCATTATACTCATCCCCATTCCCCACCCCCAAAGAAGCATTCTAAATTGATCTCTAATTGGGCAATCAAAAGACCTGGCTTTAGATGTGACTTTGATAAACCCCCAAATGACACAGAATGGTATGGAGCTACTGCAAACTACATGTTTTTTGCTTACCCATCATATCTTTTGTCTTCTTGAAATGTTTGTACCACCTTCCAAATTCTTGACATTTTGCTGCTGAGACATTTGCATAGTAAGTGCTGTTCACAATGGAAGAAATCATACTCTGCATGGGGAGGGGAGAACATTTGTATTACAGAGCCGCAAGAGACAGAACACAGAAAAGATTGCAATTGTGAAAACTGTCTTCTTGTTGTTGTTGTTGTTTTTAAATCAACTGATACATTTTGGTTTTACACTGTAGCCTAAAAATTTAAGGAAATAATGAAATACTTATTCAAATAACAAGCAACAGCCCATGGGGACCAGGTGAAAGGTTTGCTTTGGCACTAATGGGTCAATCTCCATCAAGGCTATCTACACCTAAACTGGCAACTCTCACTAGTCCCAATGATACATGAAGACAACACATGACACTTTGCTGTTTAGTGTCTACAGCTACATCTTTGCTACCAAAATAGGGTTCAGGGAAAAGCAATATGAGCAACCCCTTAGAAACCTGTTAGAAATGCACAGTCTGGAGCTCAATCTCAAACCTGGGCAATCAGCAACTATATTTTACCAAGATTCCCAGGGATTCACATGTACATTCACATTTAAGAAACATCTCTTACACTTTCATGTATATTATCTGGATTTTTCAATTGGAGATGTATTAACCTTTTTCCAAGGGTAACTGATCATACTTGAGAAGAAAACAGTTCACAGAGATCCTCTCTGTTAGGGAAAAAACATCCTACAAACTTATTGATAGCTTTATCTATAATAAAGATTGAATTCTGAATTTCAACTGACCATAATATTTAAATATGTATATAAATAAATATACATACATATACATATTTTTGGGTACTTACTAAATTTCTCAAGATCCTAAAAATAAGAAAATGGTCTATGTCGTGACTTTTATCTTTTTGAATAGAAATTCTGTGGAAGTCCTGGGGTTTGAACAGAGGGTCCCATGCTTGCTAGACATGGGATCTTAACACTAAACCACACCTTAGGCCTATTTTATTAGTTTGTAACAGGGTCTCATGTCCTGCTCAAGTGTATTATGATCTACTTATGTTAAGCTTCCTGTGTTAGCTAGGATAACAGGTGTACCTCACTGGATCCAGCTCTCAGTTGAGAAGAGGTCATGCCAACTGTTCTACCCAGGCTGGCCTCAAATCTCAATCCTCCTATTCTCAGTCTCTCTGCCAAGTAAGTAGGATTACAGGTGTGAGCCGCTGGTAATTGGCTCTTTATCTCGCTTTTAACACAAACTAGGAAAACAGTTCATCATTTAACTTATTAAAATGAAGAAAAATAATGATTTTAATGTATTACTAGAAAGCTAAAAAAAAACCACCTCATATTTAGCAAATAAATGATTCAAACTTGATAGCCCCTAGTAGCAGTGAAATTAATTCCAATTGGGTGTAGGAATGAAACAACAGACCAAGCCATCCTCACTATGAGTAGAAACCTGAGAACTTACTGTTGTCCTATGGGGAAACAGTTCCCAGGGCAACTTTGTTTCAGCACCAGAGAATAACCAGAAAAGCCAGTTTGGGGACAAAAGAATTTTTATATCATTATCTTCTTTAAGTTATGGCTAATGTAAACCTCTCTGGGCTATGGCTTATCCTCCCATCATCCATTATCAGTGTCAATTTTGTAGCATGCATACATTTCTTCAATGAGTAAATTTAGGGAATGGCTCAAGAACTTGGGAGAGATGGGTAAACTAGAATTGCATTATTTATATAAAAGACATGCCATTCTATGCGGAGAGGCCCTGGAATATCTTTTTTTTTTTTTTTGACACTTTCTACTTCATAATCATTTTCACATATTATTTCTCTAAAAAAGACATTCTTAATGTGCTCAAGATGCTCTGTCATTAATCCAATAGCTTGCAATTTCACTAAGAGCCTCCTCACAGTCCATAGAGCAAAAAGACACTTAGCAAGGTTGCCAGAACTAGAGCCAGAAGATTACCTGATCCAGTGAGCAATCCGTCAGCTTCAATCTCATTTAGTCTTTTGTAATAATGGATCAATAAAGTGAGACACTAATAAAACTACTGAGATTTACTGACGGATAATGGATGATAGTTGACGTTCTTCCACTTTGTCCTAATTTTAAAAAATTTATGATTGCTCTTTATGAAGATATTCTGACAATTTCTTACATGTTAATATAACAGACCATGTAAGTTTAAACATAATAGTTTATTTCCTGCTTTTTTACAAATATATGGAATACCTCAATTCTGCTGAGATTTGTAACAGATACCCAAATGCTTGTAGATATGACATTTTCTCTTTGATTCTATACCCAATATGTCCTGGATAAAAAGACAGGTAAGACCCAGCCTCTTTCTGTAACAAGTTTACCACCTATTAGCAAGACAGATAAGATAACCAACCAATAACTTCACTTTGAAGGAACTCTGCATACCAACAGGGGGAAAATGTGGGGGGGAGGGAGGAAAGGAAGAATCCATAGAGTATGGGGGGAAATGCGGAAATATTTTTATCAAGCACAGCCCATATGTAACAGTGCTGTGTACTTAATCATCCATATGTAGAAAGACATCCATATGTGCATCATTGTCAACTCTTCTGCCTGCCCTTGTGTAACCCTAAATCAGCAAGCTGTACTCTGAAGTGAATTTTTCTGGATGCTTTCTACTCTGTCAAGTGGTGTGTCCTTAGAAAATTCTGATAATGTAAATATTAGCCCTATCAAGGTATCAATCAAAAGGATTATAACCCATACCAAAACAACTTTTGGAATCACTTTCTTTCTGTACTTTTACAGGACTGGGAAATATTCTATGCTTCAGATAACCTGGGTCACTCATATTTTTATTGGAACAATATACAGTAACCTGTTCAATTAAATTGCTCAAACAGCCACTTTGTTTTTCCTTGCGATAAGATCCCTATTGTGGACTGGAGATGTGGCTTAAATAGAGTGCCAACTGTGAGCAAAAGTGCGAGAGCGTGGAGCCATGAGTTCAAGCCCTAGAATCGGCACACACAAGATCCCTACCGTCAGCTTAGATATGACTGGTGTTTTTCAGCTGTAGGGAAGGGAAACTGCAGAATCTTGTGGTGCAAATAGAATTCAAAAATTCATGTTCAATATTACAATTTCATATCTGGAAAATCAGAAACACCTGTTGTTTTGGTAACAAATAGAAAAGAGTCAAGATTAATGGTATTTTTTGAAGTGACGGAATGTCTACAACGTAGACCAGGTTCCATGTTTTAAAAGAGAAACATTTGAGATTCTTACATCAATCCAAAGGAGATGTTGATTTCAAAAGATTGTTCATGCAGGAGTGGGGCTCCCTATTATCTACCCCAATGCCTGGCACACATTACATACATACTGCATGTTCATCTAAGGAAAGAGAACAGATATATCTGCATTCAAATGCAAGATGTGCTTGACCTGGAGCCAATTAATTGATAATTTTCCATGCTAAATGGGAAGGATAGTAGCATTCACCTTGTGGGGTTGTTTTGAAAATCCATTCATTCAGGCATTGTTTTTCATCCATTCATCACTGAATTCCTACTAAGTGCCAAGCATGGGGCAAGTTACTAGGAACAAGTGACCTGTAGAGATATACTTTCTACCATCGGAGAATGAAAAAAATAACGGATGTGGTGCAATTAGCACAGAGCCTGGGACACATCAAGCATGAATTTACGAGATGTTAATTGCTATGACTCCCTTCTGCCTCTTCCTCCTCATTGGGCTTTCATTATACAATCGCATAGATCATTCAACTATGCTTTAAATAACAGAAGAGTACCAAATTAAATGTTCAAAATAATGTATTTTAGGTCAAATAAATTTTTATGAAGATTGGGAAATGTACTAAATAAACTGTTAAGTAACAAATATGGTGAAGAAACCACAAAGAAAAATATTAAAATATTTAAATTTGTACCAATATGCAGCTTGATGTATTTTCTGGAGTTAGTCTGAACTTGGCAGCTGACAGGAGGAAGGCACATCCACTCCTGTCTTGGACACTAGACTTATGTCCTCTCCCGTCTCTGGCTAACAGCTGCCCACCATCCTTCAGATATCTCTCCAGTACCTCTACTTCTTCAAGGCCCTTTCTAACCTCTCAAACATCCTGCACATAGTGAGTGCCACCATGGCACATGCCATATTGTTTATTCTTTACTAGATCAGGAGTCATAGGTCTTATCTCAATACGGCCTGGACATCACAGAGTTGAGCACAACTAGTGTCCAACACTAAAATAAATCATTACTGCAGGGCACCAGGAGTTCCTCCTTCCTTTTTCCCTTAAAGGTCAAAGGAAATGGAGGCTTAATTGTCACACACAACCTTTAAAATCCACTGCATCTGGTTGTCACAAAACAACAACAACAACAACAACAGCAACAACAACAACAAAAACAGCACCGTACTATCAAGAACCTTTGTTCATTAATTTGCAAGAGATTTCTTCCCAGGTTTTTCAAAATACATCTACACAGATGTCTCGGAAGTTGTAATGCAATGTGGTTATGTTATTCCACTGCTTGCTAGCGCTCCCTCTCTCTCTCTTCTCTCTCTCTCTCTCTCTCTCTCTCTCTCTCTCTCTCTCTCTCTCTGTGTGTGTGTGTGTGTGTGTGTATTTCTATGAGCTGTGCAAAGCACTCTGAAAAAGATACCACTTGTATGTCAAGTTTCCAATTCAGGGGTCAGTCTGTATAAAAATACCAATTTCTGGTGATAAAATAACCCACCCAACGAAACTCAGGCAGCATTAGTCCCAAGTTCAAATGTTTACCCAGTACCCAGTACACCAACCAATAAACCCCAGCTTCCAGTGTTGGGAACTACAATGTGAAAGTTGGCAGGAACTGGCTGAGGGTCTCACAACCCTAGTGTGACACAATATTCTTATCCTAGGAGCCAAGTTGTAAGCTTTTCTAAGATCCATAAAGCACATGTCTACTCTCTATGAGAAGCTTCAGTTCTTTCAGCGAGTCTGCTGAAGTTCCGATCTGAAAGAACGCCATCTTCGCAGAAACCCCAGTCCTCTAGCATGATACCATCTGCTACAGGCTGAGCTTCCTTTTCAGC